TAGCTTTGGTGCACATCTTCCAGCATCCTCTATGATAAGCGAGAAGGTAGGTCAAAGCAGAGGAAAAGGAGATGGGCTGGGAGAGTGCGGTAAAGAGTCCAGTCTCATTCCAACATGGTGACTGCTTTACTGCCCTGCTTCTCCAAACCTGGGAAAACTAATTTGGTGAGAACGTCAAAGGCCATGGAGGCAATCCTGAGCCCAGAGCAAGGTTTGCCAATTCAAAAGGGTTTAAACTTGTACCCAAGGGATGTCCTGTGGGGCCATAAGGTGCAGACTGGTGGGATGTGCAGCCTCCACGTTGCTCAAACCAGTCAACGAACCAATGCTGGGGAATGGTCCCACCCCTGGGAAAATGTCACATAATCACAACTCAACGGGAGACGTAGGTTCACTGTGATGTTCTAGTTCCTCACGGGGCAGAGCTGAAACTAGCAGCATCTGCAGTGCTGGGCATGACAAAGCAAAGTTCCCCAGTGGAAAGAAAGTGAAGAAGTCGGCTTCAGAGAACGTACAGAAAGAGAAGGGAAGAGCGGGCAATAGAAGCCCCTAGGACCAGCTGCGGGGGGAGGGAGATGTTCAGAGAAATTAAAAACCACTGAATTCTATGCCAGGACGTTTGCAACAGTAATAGGTACGAATTTTTTTTTTTTAACGGAGAGACCAGGGATTGAACCCCGGACCTTGTGCGTGTTAAACACGTGCTCTGCTACTGAGCTATACCCACCCCCACCAGGTGTGAATTTAATTCTGACCCATTGCCTTTCTTCTTATATCAGTGTGTCTCCATCTTTCTCAAACCATTCACAGCTGATAATTAAAAATCTCATCCTCCAGCATCAGTATAACCCTTACTCCATCACCCAGGCTGAAAACCACCAATGAACATGAAACAGAAGTCCCTCTGGCTCCAACATTAACACCAGCATAATCTGAATTTTAAACATTTAAATCTTTATTTGCAGTCCTCACAGATCCTGCCTTTTACCTGGTTACCCCAAAAGACAAAAGTACAGCAGTCTATGGACAAGGTGTTAGAGAAACACTTTCTTTTGAAAAATATCAAATTAATCTTAAAGACAAATTAACCTTTCCAGAGCAGAATGCCTTACTGAGAAGTAAAATCATCTAAAAAGAAAAATCCGTTCTGCTTAAACCCAATTCTAAGTTTCCAAAGTGCAAGCCAGGAGCTGGGACAATCCTATACCATTCCCAGGGGAAAACCAGGAAGCTACAAATAACCCTCATGAACTAATCCTCAGAGAGCCTGAATCCTCTGCAGTGTGTCACTGACACGCTCACAGTGATGACATCCCTCAGGGTCTCTCCACCCAACTTTGCTAGTAAGCTGGTGCCAAAAATGTTTCCCACGATAAACGTAAGAATCTCCTCTAACACCGAGAGTAAACTTTCTGCTTCCTACTCATTCCCCAGCTAAGCTTTTCTCTCATCTCGCTTGTCAGCAGAGCAGAAACCGCATCTCTGCTGTGCACCACACTACCATTCGCAAAATGGAGGGAGGAGATGAGACATGAGGTAGCTTCAGGTTCAAGGAAAGGCAAGGATCTGTTCTGAAGCATGAATTCTTGAGGTAATTTCATTTTCAATCCTGTAGCCTAAGTTATAGTCATGCCCTTGATGGATATACTGTGTTCCACGGAAGCCCATAATTAGGAGACTGATTTTTGCTGGGATCATGGTGCCTTTATAAATAGAAGCAACCCCATTCAAAGTCACGGTGAGCTCTTTCAGAAGCTTTGCTTCCTACTTTCTAGGAAAGAGGGGGGCTACGGAAACTACACTCTGGATATTCAAGCTCTGGATAACCCACAATGATCAACCTCGGAACATTCAGCCAACTAACAACGTCCCCAAAATACAAACCAAAATTGACTTACCAAGTCACAGATCATACTCTGGTCTGTCTGTATTGTGAATAATGAAGTGTCCTGGGGCTGAAAGTTGGGGATAAAGCACACGATTAAAAATTTTTAGGGTTTCAGTTACTTTGCCAGAAAAGCAGCAACAAAGATATCAGTTAAATTAGCTCCCACCAGTTGTGTCAATGAACACATTATAAAGTTTTTTTGGTCTCTTTTTATTTTTAATCAGAAAGGCAAAAAAGTGCAAAGCTAATTTTTGACAGTAGTTATTCTAGATATAAATCTGAGCTGGCAGAATTCGATGATCCCATGAGCGACATGAAATGAAGGGCCGAATCTTCAGAGGCATCTTTGGTCCTCAGCTTCCCTTCTGGGCATGAACACTGAGTTAGAAGTTGATGGGTCTAAGCGACAAATTGAAACGTTTTCAATGTTGAAACCTTAATCATACTGCTATCGCCTCTATGAGTAAGTCAGGAACTGTAATTTAAAAGCTGTGAACAATATATTCATTCGGGATATGAATCCTAAAAAAATCAAGCTGGAGGAAATCTAAGGGAACAGTGATCTCTAGGAAAATCCATCTCTCATCACGCTGGGAGCCAGGCTCATAAACTCCAGGCAGGAGACCAGAAGAGCCTTTCCTGCGTAATCTGACCAGTTCAGAAAGAAAAAAACAGCCCCTAGAGAATTTAACATCAAGACGTCATCAACAGAAAGATGAGCCAGAAAATCCTATAGCAATACCGAGAGTCAATGAACTCTACCTACTTTTACGAGTCTCTCAGCTTTTTGGTGTCCTAGTCCTAAATATGAGTAGACAGCCAAGATCACCAGGCACTTAAGAAAAATCTCAAATATTAAAGGGAGAAATGAAATAGTTTTTAAAAAGTGGAAGAAATGAAGACTTTGCAGGGGGTAAAAACCTTCAAAAATTATTATTATTATTAACGCCCTTGGAGATACAATGAAGATGCTGTATTCATAAGAGGACGCTACTAAAAAACAAATATTCAATAAACAAAAAGAGCCCTTGGAAATTAAAAAAATATATATAGAAGTGAAAAATCTGTTAGAACAGTTGGAAAGCAGAGAAAGAGAAAAGGAAAAAGTGGGGGAAAAAAAAGTCAAGTGGAAGACTAGTTTAAGAAGCCAACATAAGAAAAAGAAGTGTCACAGAGTGAGAAAGCAAAAGAAAAGAAATCATCAGTGAAAAAAAAAATCCCCCAAACTGGAAGACATAATCTTTAGATTAAAAGGGCCTAGTGCAATATATGAAAAACCCAGACCATAGGACATCACTGTCAAACTTCAGAGACACTACGGTATAAGGAAGATGGCACAAACTTCCGGATAGAAAGAGAAAAAGAAGGTGGGAAGGGCATAAAATAGGGCAGAGAAAGGGCTGGGGTGCAGGAGGCGGTTCTTACAAAATATCAAGAATCAAAACGACAGTTTCCCAGTGGCAACACCAGGAGGTAGAATTGAATGGAGCAATGGTTTCAAAATTCTAAAGGAAAATGGTTTACAACATGCAATATAATATCCAAACCAACAGTCCATTATATACGTGGGAATAAAGTTATTTTCAAATGGAGAAGGTCCCAAGTATGTGTTTCTTGTGCACATTTTCCTCAGGAAACTAGAAGGGGATGCTCTGTACCCAAATGAGGGGTTTAACCACAAATGAGGAAGAGCTGTGTCCCGAGAAGAGAGGAGGGACAGACAAGAGAAGTCAGTGCAGTCCCCGCGGCAGATGTGATGGGAGACCCTGCGATGACAGCCGTGGCAGCAAGTCACAGCCACAGCGTCCCCAGGTCAGACGGGAGCAGTCCAGGACCGACAGGCAAGTTCTTCAGGAGGACAAAACTTACAGACTCATGTCTTAAACAAAACAGGAGGTGATTTATATAACTACTGAGTTTGGGGTTGAATTCGTAGGAGGTCCCTAGAAAACAAAGCAAATGAATTCAGAAGCTCACAAACAAGGCCCTACAATTATTGCCTCAAAGGAAAACAGAAAATTGGCAGAAAAGGAAATGCAAGCTTTGTGACGTGAGCACTAATAGCATTTATAGCATCAGGATAACACTACCACTGACTGGCCGGGTGGCTGGGATGAAGCTGCACAGCGGAAGGACAGGAAGCCGGGGAGAGATGTGAATGGTAGGAGGTTGAAAGTGCTTTAAGCCCCACCTCCCAGAGACAGCAGTCAACAGCTAATGCTCTAGAAATGAAGAAGTCATGCACGCTCATGGCAGTGAAACCAGAGAATCTGCTACGAGGAGTGAAAGCCTTTTTCTCCAAGAAACGAGAAATGGAGGAAGGTGGTGTAAGTTTTCAAGTTAAAAAACTCGTATAAAATTGTGTTACTCTTTAAATTACACGCATTTATAACTGATAAAAATAAGTCATAAAAAAGAGAAATGAATAACAATTCTTAGGACCTAATCTTTTGAAAGCGTCCCGTGCAGCTGGGAGAGACATATTATCGTCTCTCTGCGTTTTTGTGTGTCTCTGTACTTGGGTGTGGGTGTATGAGTGGGTTTTATCTTTTTATAGGTAACATGGGGGAAAGTAATCAAACTTTTAAATGGAAAAATTCTCAATGTTAAAATTCAAAATTGTTCATGTCTGATAGTCCGAAACAAAGCATTCATCACAGACACGCATATATCTGAAGACTCCCTTGAAGAGGTGTTCAGAACTTATGCCATGAACTTGACAGCCATGGGGCCTGCCTTCTGCTTGGGTTACAACTGTCCGTCTGTCGGGATATATACAGGGACTGCGACAGTCCATCATGTGGCTCCTCTTCCATAGATTCCCAAGAAAATACTGTCTTACTGGCTTGAGGCAACCTATGGTTTCTGATCTCCCAACAGCTCCTTCCTGAAGAACCACCAAAGATGTAAGGTTCTGTGTAGTACGGCTCCTGTGTGACTCTTTAGAAGGAAGCGCCTAAAAATCTCTTATATTTTCTAAAGACCCATCTCATTAGTTCAAAACAATCTTACCTCCTCTTTTCCGACAGCTGAGTCTAATAGATCCCTCAGATAAGGACAACTTCTACTTCCTAATTCCTTCAACAGAATTCCATGGAATATCTAATAATATTACCAACAGCTAACTATAGTCATGGAGCGCTTAGTAGGAGCTAGGCTTCCAGGATGAGTGCTCTGCATTCTTGTCTCATTTAACCTTCACAACAGCCCTGCAACGTTGCTGCTACTACGGTTTCCATTACTGAAGTCACCAGAAGTGGGGTCAAGCTTTGCGTCGACATGCTTACACACGATGCTTTCCGGTGACTTAGAGGTCCGCACATTTAAACTTTGCATCCTTCTCAACAGATGGATTTTGCCAGCAAATCGATTTCTTACCTGGGCAAATCCATTAAATGAACCACCAGAAGCCTAAACAGAAATGGAAATCAAAGTAACATTACTTTTTTTCATTACTTTCGTAGGGTCAGTAAATATCTCTAAGAGAAGGTGGGAAATAAAGACCACCACGAATTTAAAAATTACACAAAAGGTTGCTGTGCATGAAGGTGCTTAGGAAATGGAACAGGCCATACTGTTTTATTTCAAATAGGCTGACAAGAAAGATTATTTTTACAGTCATTACTGGTACGGGGCTCAGTGCTAACCAAAGCCCACTTTCTCAATAATGAGAAGATGATTTCAGAGAAGAGCCGTGAGGGGTTAAATAGCTCTTTTTAAGCCATCGATAGACTCTAGAAGTATTTCCAGGATTTCTCTAATACATCATGTCGATGAACAGCTATTATGAGATTTTACAGTTTCAGTGGGCCTGCGTAGAAGCACTTCATGTGTTCTTATTGGTGGTGGAACCACTTCAGGAACAGTAAATTAGTCTGATCTATATATATTTTAGTGCTTGAACAGTAAAAATGGAAGTAGAAAGAAAAAAGCTCAGTAAATGGGATGGTAAAATAGACTCTTATTAGTTCCCAACACAGTCATTCTGCTCTTTGTGTTGTCATTGTTTTATCTTTTCGATTGTTTTTGGTTTTGTTTTTTTGTCAACCTATTTGTGTTTGGTTTGCACAGATTTCAAGAGGTACAGGACAACCTGTCAAGGAGATGAGGCAGACCTTGGAGAAGATAGTGATGGATAATGAAGTAGGTGAGAAACACTAGGAAAAACAGAACCTACAGAAGTCTTTGGCTAGTCTATACTACATACTGGGGTAAGTACCTCTTCTTTATCAGCCTCTATTTCTTGGTACAACAATCCATATCTCTGGTTAGCAATTTCATCTTCAGACAAATCTGAGTTGTTGGTGTCACTGTCTTGGGGACGCTCGATGCTAGCATTCTGGGAGGCTCCCAGAACCAAAGGTCTAATTATCTCTTGGTTTTGTTCCCAGCAGCTAGCAGTGGCTTGTTCCCCACCTACATCCCCTAGTAAGTCCATCTCCATCCCTTTCTTGCTCCCAAATGTATCTAAATGTTCCCAGCAATTATCGAAGCCTCTCATATCCCTGCTAGGCCAGTGGTTAATAGAGTCAAGGCAACTGGCAAGTCCACTTGCTTGGCTATCTGGTATACCAGAGCATTCCAATGTATCTTTATTAGTTGCTCCTGAATCCAAGCTTGGCTGCCAGATGTGACCTGGATCTGTCCCCAAAGAGTCTGTTTTTGCGATTCTTGGCAAGTTAATGGTGTGGCTACAGTTCCCAGTCATTGTATTTTCAGTTCCCTCTATTAACGGATCTCCAGCCTGACACAAACACCAATCTCTTCTGTTTGCATTAGTTCCCAGAGCACAACTAAGATTTGTCCTAGTCTGAGCTATTGCTTCATGTTTTATTGATAAAACAACAGCCTGATTTGCATCCTGGTCACCCCCAGGAACATGTAACAGAGCCTCACACTGAATCTCTTCAGCGTCTGTACCGCCTTGTGCTGAAGGATACGTTACATCATGGTCAGGAGGGTCTAGCAAATTTTTCTCTCTGTCTTTTCCAGCTAAATCCCATCCCTCAGAGCTGGCATCTTCAGTATTAGATACAGAGTCAGTCTGGAGAGGCAGATTCAAAATACCTGTGTGAATGGCAGGTCTAGCTCCAGAACCCCCTGTAACCGTACAATTATTTATTACTACTTGAATCCTGTCACCCAGCCCTTGGTCTCTGTCTCTAAACTCATCTATCATATCTACACTTTCCATTTCTTTTTCTAATATGTCAGTTTCCTCAAGACACTCTTCATTGGTCTTTAGGCTTTCCTCACACCCAGCACTTAGATCTTTCCTAGTTCCCTCTTCACTGATTTTTAAGGTCTCCTGGTCTTGCTTGCCTGTTGTCTTACAAAGATCTACTACCCTGTTTCCTGTACTTTCACGCACTTTCTCTTCAGATTCCTCTGTACCTTCTAGTGCCTTGATACCAACAGCTCCAGTGTCTACCTTTTCACATGTCTCCACACCTGCCCAGATAGAATCTTCGATCTTCTGTTGGTCTTCCTCTTCCTCTGACTTCTTAACAGCTTCTTGACTTTCTTGGACCAGGCCACCAGTCTCCTTGGCTGGGATCTCTGAATCAGGTAAATCATAAGGCTGCTCCAACTCCACAGAAGCAGCCATGGCAACTTCAGCCCCCGGCACAGGTTCTGGGAGCAGCTGTTGACTTCCACATAGAGGGGTTGGCCCCAGGACATGCTCACCCTCTTCAGCTACCGTGTGCCAGTCAGCAGAAGGAAGCATCCCAGTGGATAATCCCACATCTCGCTCTGCTTCAGAGACACACGCAGAGTCTTCCTGCGACCCACCTTGGGGAAGTTCCTGGCTGACACTCTCTGTACTAGCATCAGGGCCCCACATAATTGCACCTAGATCAATTTGAGGTCTGTGAATTTCTTCGGCCAACCCACTGTCTGGAGTTTCCTCCATGATCAGGTTACACAGGGAAAGACTTTTTGAAGAATCAGTCTTTAGAGTATGCAGAAGAGCAAAGGAAGAAAAAAACAAAAACGAAAACGTAAGATGAAATAGATCATGGTAAGCGCTGATGAGAAACACAAAGCTCTTCAGTAGGGTAGCAACAGTTAAACAAAGCTAGAGCGTATTTAAATTAAATGGCTTAAGGCTGAATCTGTGACGAGCGATGCCATGAGAAGAAAAGCTCACTCTAGATAATATGTCATGTCAACAATGCATATTAAATACCCAAAAAAATCCAGAATTTTCTGGACATTTACCTACCGGCTGTACCAGATCGGTGCTCGTCTGTGTGAGTAAAATAATAATAATAATAAATAAATAATCATAATCACAATCATAAGACACGAAAAGAAAATTCCCCCAGCACATTAAAATCCCATCAGTCCAAAGTCAACATACTGCTGAAGCCTTCCGCTTTTACAGGGTTGATATTAAATTTTGCAACTTGTTACGGAAGAGGAATGAGTTTTGTTCCAATATTGTTTAAGACAACCCCACTGAAACATGATGAAAGCCTTTGTCATTTTCTAGTATCAAAAAGGGGTTTATGGCTATCATATGCCATTTGCTTTAGCACTCTGGAATGCCAAGTTTCAAATAAATAAGTAAGCTTGAGAACAGCAGAATAAGATCAAGCATTCGCAGCCACAAAATTACACAGTATTGCACGCTCTGATTTAAGAGCAGAATAAAATCTTTCCCCAACTCATCCTGCCCTTGGTTCTGCCTTTGGGGTGGTGCTTGGACGGAGGCAGATCTGACGTACTAACCCCTCTGACTGCCTGGAGGGCTTGCCTCTTGTTCTCCTCCCCACCTAGAAGGCTCGTCTGCACACAGGGAAATAACACCGGGGAGCTGAGAAGGTCCAGGAGTACGAGCGACTATGTCCAGGGAGCTGCTGCTTCACAGTCTTGTCATTGTTACCATTCCTAGGTCTGTCCCCTGAACTAGTCAACCCTCCTTCTAAATGACACCTCCAGCCTCTCCCAGCTAGAGAAGGAAAAGTGTGTTAAAAAAAAATTAACACAAAGTTGAGGCTAGAATTCAAACGTTCTCAATATCAATCCACGTATCCCTTCTTGGGAACATACAAGTAAAACCAGCTCCCTATAAAAAATGTTTTCGTTCAACATTTTTCAGCTCTTCTCTTGAGAGCTCTTCATGATGCTTCAAGCTCCCGTGGAAAGGAAGGGGACGGTCACCTTTCCGTTTTAAGGTGACAGCAATGTCACCTCAGAAGATCAGGCTCTTAAAAAGCTAGATCTACCAAACGTTCCTGCTGCTGTCTCACTAACACAGAAGGAGACATGGAACTCGGGTTGAGCTGTTAAGACCACGCGAGCTCGGGCTCTTCTAAGACAGGCAGACAAAGGCTCTACCCAGGGGTGTGAGGCTCCACCTGGGTGTGGCCACTTTCTTAATTCCACAGCACGGACGTCGCCACCACAAAGCTCTGTATGCATTTTATTCTCAGTTCTAAATTCTGGAAATACTCATCCTTGCACATCAAATGAGCTGAATAAATAACATTAGCAGTCGCATCGACCTTTTGCTGATCCACACCGGACACTGGGCTGCCTGCCCTGCCCACGTCATCTCATTTCAGCCTCACACCACCCTCTGAGGTGGGTGTCATTACCCTTCTATTATAGATGGGAAAAACTGAGGCTTAAAGAGTTTTAGAAGTTGCCCAAAGTCATGGGTATAAGAAGTAGAGTCTGGACTCAAATCCAGGACTATCTGGCTCTAAAGCTCAAATTCTCATGAACTAGGCTTCACTGACAATAATAATGGAAGAAATGGTTCCCCGAGTAGAGTGGCCTGTCCTGTACATTGTTTCATCCACACTTTCCACGTACTCCGTTTAAAGGCAGTGGCAAATATGCTGCCCTTCACTGCAGCAGTTCCTCCAGCCCCCAGTAACGACAGGAGGAGGCACAAAGGGCACAGCACTGCATTCCTGCTCACCCAGGAGTCTGGCACCGACACGCTTCCCTCACCATTGTCTCCACCTGCAGGGAACGCTTACACCCATCAGGGAGCTGATGACTGTCCTAGGGGACTATGTTATCATCAGAAACGTCTGCGTCTTCTTTCCATCACAGATGGAGTAAAATATAGCGAGGTTCCCAAATGTTTAGCCATCCAGAGACGTTAAAAGACAGTGCTCTTAGTTCTCTTACCGTCCATAGGTCCCAGGGCAATGTCTGCAAAGCAAACAGAGAAACAAAAACACCATTAGCAGACAAATCCCGAGCATGTAAACAATGCGGGGGTGATGAAAGTTCTTGAAATAAAATCATAAGTATTTTTGAAACATCTAGTCAGCACTTGTTCAACAGAACTTTCTCTGGGGATGAGAATGTCCCACATGTGTTCTGCCCAATGTGGCAGCCACGGCTCACGTGGGCTACTGAGCACTGGCAATGTGCAAGTGTAACGGAACTGAACTTTAAATTTTACATTCTAACATTTCAGTCTGATGTAAAATACCCAAATGCGGCTAGTGGCTACCACTATCAGACAGCACAGGGCTAGTCAATCTGCTTTTGCTCTACGAGTGAGAAACTATGTCTGAACCATGAATAAACTTTAACACACACACACAATTAAAATGAAGTAGACAAGGTGCCCCAGTATTTAGAGTTTATCACACTTTGAGGAAATGCTGATCCTCATCATTGCTAATGCTATTTTCTCTCCCCTCCTCTCGTACCAAATTCAAGAGGATGACCCGCTTGATGGTAAATGAACTTCAGAAACGTAGATCTTCAGTATGCTGCATTGGGTGGTAATGCACAGCTCATCTAACTGGCAGTCATGCAAATTAGCAGGGTGCCTCCTAAGACATGTGGGTGAATTGCACTTAAGCAGCAGCATTTTAATTGTGAAGTTTATTGATCCTGGGGAATGAATCCAGATGGTTCAAATGACTCCCACCGTGTGCCGGGAGAGTGGGGCACACGTCTCTTTCTTATTCCCTTTGTGACTGAGAATTTCTGCTAAAGCCACATGCTTCTCTGCTCGTGCCTCTGTGACTAGAAGGGATCCATGTTTATGCGGTCGTTTTCAATCTCCAAATGTAAACAGAGAATTAGGGAGCCTGGCACTCTCATCTTAAGAATATGTCGGTTTCCAGATGGGATTACAGCTGTCTTGTTCGGGCTCCATAGTACAGAAGGTGGACCTGTGGTTCCGACGGAACCCCCGCCCCCCAGGTTGGTCTGGGCTTCCTCTAATGGCCCCACCCGGCAGCTCCGGGCAGCCTGGCTGGTCTCTGGCTTAGCACCTACTTGCCAAATGACTAAGTGTAAAACAGTGCGACTGTTTTTTGTACATGGACTCCTTCTGCACCTTATATGCACTTTCTGATTATCCAAATGGTTTATGTTTTCTTGCTTCACAGCCCCTTAAGAATCGTAGCCCCTAAAAGCTGCTGCACGTCCTGGCATCATGCAGGCAGCACAGGTATTTTCCTCAAAGGAAGGCAGCAACGTGAGGCAGTGTGCTTATCACTCCTTGGGGTCAGGAAAGGACGTGTCCGCGCACATGGACACTGCGGGGATCACAAGGTAAAGTGTTCTGTGAGCCGCGGGGCCATCAGTTTAAAACATGGGGTCAGGCAACGGTAAGGGAGATGATCTTGAGTGAAGGGGAAAGACGTTTGCAGAATCTAGCAGCTCTGTGCTCCTTGTTATCTCAGCCTAAGACTTCTCTTCTTAGCACAAGAGGAGAGACGTGATGAGCGCTGGACCACAGGACTCTGCAGTGAGGTGACTCAATTACGGCCACTGGGAAGCCAGAGCAATTTATTACCAGGCCCGAGTGAAGAGCAGGGGGACACACGCAGTTTCCCCTGATGGCAGTGATGCATTTTCTTCAGAAACTAAGACTTTTGAAGATTTAACCAAGGACATTTTTTTTTAATTCTTATTTTTTGTTGAAGTGGAGTCGATTTACAATGTTAGTTTCAGGTGCGCAGCAAAGCTTCCTGTAACGAGCCGGCACGGGCAAGGTCATTTTGTTGTTGTTCTTTAATTCTGAAAGGCTCTCTTAGTCTTAAATCCACACAAAGTTGCGTGATTCATGGATTAATGTAATCATGAGTTCATATCAGAGGGTTCTCTCTTGATTCAAACTTGCAGACAGAAATGCCGTGGCATCTGACCCCCTGAGCATCACAGCATCCACTGTGGAAACTCTTCTCCTGCCTCTAAAGTGATGACCGTTGGACGGTAAGGCAGAGGAAGTCCCACGAACTCTGCTGGCTGTCTGCTCAATGAGACAGCTCTGAAAAGGAGACGTTCTGAATGCTATGTCCATTCATTTTTCTGCTTTGTGTGGCCACCAAGATAGAACCCTCAGACTTGCTGACAGTGACTGCGCTAGCGTTTCCCAGCATGAGCTTCAGAGACCATTCCCATGAATGTTGAGAATGTTTCATTAAAACAGACTTCCATGGTCAAGCGAATTTGGGCAACTCTAAGTTAAACAAATCTGAACTTTGTTTGTTTGTTTTGATTGCAGGGCTTCTTGGAGGCGTTAATATGCTAAAGGCACATCGTGAATATTTTAAAAGGGAGTTAACAGAACTTCCTGAAGCATTCATCGAAGAGATGCCTTTATGTTTTTTTGTAAAGTACCTTTCAGGCTAGTGTCTAATCTACTGAGTTGCCTGCTTTATTGACATCTCAGTTTTTATTGTTCCAATGTCCCAGCATGGAGGTCTGTAGAAACTCAATCACATTCCGGAACAAAATATGGATTAAAGTGAAGCTTTATTTATTGAAGGCCACATTGAGCTGTGGTTTATTATAAGGTATCAGGAAGGCTTCTGGACCAGGATGTTGAGCTGGGTCTCAATTCCTAAGTTGAGTTTTACAATACACCTTGATTAATTAACTTGAAGTATATTCTAGCATCCTTGGGTTTGCCCCAACCGCATCAAAAACACTGACGTAAAAATCTGGTTAGCAAAAATTTTCAGTTAGCTTCCTTCCGTGAACACAGACAACTGTAAGGTAACTATATTCTGGAAGAGTCACCTACAGCTCATTACAGCACCCACCACCAGAATCCCTCTGCTAGACAATGCTATCACAACCACTACTGAAATGGGGAAAATGCCAAGAGCGAGGAAGTCATTAGCAGGGTAAGACCGGATAAGGAAGGCCATCTCTGCATCGGGGGCACATAAGGGTAAGTTTCTATAATGTGGAGGATGAGGACATCAACTTCAAGTTCAGAACGATCAAGACCAAAAATATTCCCATTGGAGCAAAATCTCATGGTTAATTCAAGTATGCCTTAATTTGCAAAGTATGAAGAAGGAAAATAGAGAAAAAAAATTAAGAAGAGAAAACCCCAAACCAAAATAAAGAGTTTTGCTTAGGGAAGCCATGAAATGTGTCACCCAAACCTGGACACTTCTGCACGCAAAGGGGCCACTATGGATAACCACTCTGAGACGGATGCTCCCCGGCACAGTGGAAGTGTGGCTCCCTGGGCAGAGATAGCTAATGGTAGAGGAGGTTGAGAACAACTGCCATCGATAAAGTCCTCGTTCCACCTTTCCTAAATGTCAACCGAAAAGAGTCACATGGAAGGGAGAGGGGTCAGGGAAAGGCACCTGTCGCCTTACTGAGCTTATTAAAGTCTATCAACTCTCGTCCCCAAACGTCCAAAAACCCACTTGATACCTGAGACATGGGTGAGTGGGTGACTCCGGCAGAACCCGCAGGTGCCACTTCAGGCTTGAAAGGGTCGAAGTCCAGATCCAACAAAGTCTCCTCTTTCTTCACCTCGGGGACTTCGTTCTGCTAAAGCAAAACATGCATTAGCTTGAATCCGGTAAGACTTCATGATCTAACCCACGTGCAAGCCTCTAATTTCAGTTCATATCCCCAAGCATGCTTTGATAATTTACCACTGAGGTGGCTCATGCATGGGAGAGGGAATAAGCCACACAGGCCAAGTGTAACGTAAGACACTCCGGAACACGGCCCAGGACCGGGTTTCTATCCTTTGTTCAGCTCCAAGTCCAGGCAACAAAGAGGATGTCTGAGAGATGAACCCTAATGCCACCAAGATCTAAGGAATGTCCTTCTCTTCCAGCTCAGAAAACTCAGGTCAAGAATTACAGAGGACCGGATGAATGAAATGGGCTAAGGTGTGCACCTGTTACAGTCACCCGCTGCTGTGATGTCCCCTGTGAAGCTAAAAGTTAAAAAGGAACGGGTCGTTGTGACTGTGACCACATCCCACCTGCCCCTTCCCCTCAGAGGTACCCTGTCCCTGGACTCAGTTATCCTATGATCCATTCTTCATCCATAATACTGTTTGTCCCAACTGTGTTTATGAGGGAGCAAAAGAGAGAAAAAGACAGAATAACACATCCCCCAATGTTCACTGCAAAATGAGCTCCCACCCCAATAACATTCTTAGACTAGAAAGAAAGTCAGTCAAATAGAGAATGAGAATCCTGCTATAATAATAACAAAAAAGTTTTATACTACTAAGTGTTAATAATAGTTCATTTATTGCAGGATCATGACAGGAAAGGAAAGGGCGTGGACGTGACGTTGGTCTAACCCAGGCTCAGGTTACACAGTCAAGGTCAGAGCTGGCATAAAGCCCTCTGAAACTGTACCACAGTGGAGAGAAGTGGGGTCAGTTTTCACACAGTTCGAGTTAAATGTGTCTGGTTTTTGAAATACGCTTCGATTTTGACCATCTGTTGCCTAGAAACTGAAAGTTCACAACAATGGATAAAGTATTATATAAGAATAGAGACGTTTAGGGAAAAATTTTAAAGAACAGGAGTTATTTTAATTAACATTGATTATGGACATAAAATTTTAAAATTAGAAATATATGAAAAGCTTCAGGGCACTACAGATACTTTTTTTCAGTATATCCACACGGATTATAGAAGGAAATCTGCTTATATATATCCTTCTATTAGTCTTGAGTTATCTATTTTGTGGCGTGTTTATTCTTCATTTAAATTTTTTAAGTTTCTCAAGGATAATGCTCTTCTGAGATCCCTCTGTCTTTAATAATTGCAGTCACAAAACTGTCAACTGATTCCCTCAGCTGCTTTTCAAAATCTGCATGAATTTTGTTTTTCATCAACTTTTATGCTGGTACAAATTATACTTAACATTTTGCAAACACTTCTGTTACACTTAGAATGTGCTAGGCATTCTTCGAAGAACTTGATACATATGAACATTAACTCATGCTAATGCACTTTGCTGCTTTGAAAGAATTACTTTATTCCCCAACAGCATTTTACCTGCACTGCGAATCTTTAAAACAAAATCGAAGGGCAGATGCATCACTTCCCCACTTGGGGATGAGAAGATTGGGCTGATCAAGGTTATCAGCTGCCCTTTGACTCCAGCGCTATTCCAGGCTGCTGCAGAGACCCGGTCCCACATCTCAGGGAACCCTAAGATCTGCAGAGGAATTCCTGACATTCTGCAAGTGCTCCGTAAAAACTTAGCCCACGCAAGTATGTCCCTTAGTCCCTTATGAACCTAATGGATCCCTTTAAGGACGCTCTAATGGAAAGTTAGAGATCAAGGCTAAAAAGAAAACCAGCCTATAATGAGCTATGCTTTGACCTCGATTGAACTAAATCCGGGTTTGCACTTAGTTTTGCCACTTGCTAGCTGTCTCTCTGGGCAGTCAGTTCAGCTTGAGACTCCGTTTTTCATGCATAAAATGAGAGTAATAATACCTGGTAAGATGATCGTGAGTAATAAAGACAGGGAAGCTACTAAACAAAATACATTGGATACTCAAAGTGCAAATGGACATCATGCTGTTACTAATTACCATTAGTAATGATGTGTATCTGTGTAAAATTACTGTCATCAAGTATCCATCAGACCAGTTTGGTTGCCTTCAAAACGTGTAACTGGCTTCTTCAGGCTCCATTTCTATATGGTTTTGTTCTCCCTTAACCTTGAGTTACCCCTTAAGGCCCTCAAATCAAAGAGTAATTTGAGAGAGCTGCCCGTTTATATAGTATTCCTTAATAAAGGGGCACAGAAGTACTCATGTGCTGAAACATAGTGACGTGTAACTTCCCCCAACATAGCAAAAGAAAAGTAATCTTTTCTCACTCCTTACACCTCCATCACCAATGGAGTAGATCGGATGTGGTCCCAACATTCTCAAGCTCTGTGGAAGCTTGAGCTCACCTACTGTTTTATAAACAAAAGTCTGGAAAAGGTGACCTGGGATGTGTACCTAAAATAGGAGGCTAGATGTGGAAACCATCGTGGGGGACCATCCAGTGGGAAATACTGCCAATTATAAGAATCTTCTGTGCTGTATTTCATGAAGTGTCTTCTGCTAGGGGCATCTTAAATTTGCTGGTAAGGTACTGGACTTCTCCCAGGATAGGTGTACAATCTGAGCATAATCCTTATGGCTAGCCTTGCCCTGGCCTCATGATAGAAA